TCATTCCCACTCTTATTTGCTGTTCCTGGCCATTGCCAACTAACAGGCCCCTTTGGCTTGATTTTCTGGGGGCAAATACAAGCCCCCAGAAACACCTCATAAGAAGACTGAGGTGTGATGGAGCAGTGGGGCTGGGGGACATCCCTGGTTGGGGGGCTCTGGGATGCTCTTGGGGAGTGGATACTGACCCACTGGAGGTGCAGCACCCAAAGCCTCCCATCAAGGAAGGGGCTGCATGACCAACAGCCTCTGCTCCCAGGGGAACCTGGTGTTCCCTTTTCCACAGCTGGAGAAGCTGCCTGGCCAGCTCTCTGCCTTGCCCAAAGTGTGGCACTTCTTAAAACAAAGGCATTTGGCCTTAAATCCCCTTTTACTCCTCCTCGTGACCAGCTTTGGTCTGGGAGCCGGGTGTGCTCAGCATCAAACCCACATACAAGGAAAGAACATCAGCTCCTGGTGGGAAAGTGAATTATTGAAGCCAAGGGAAGCTGTGACGAAGCAATCAGGGTGGACTGCCGTATGGTCCCAGTGAATTATTCAAAGCCTAGTTTTAAAGCAATTCCTGAAATAAAGATGACAGAGAAACGGGGGTGAAGGAAAAAAACCACTGTAAAGGGCCACTGTGATGCCTCCCTAGGTGTGGGGACCAGGCTGTCCCCTCCACAGGGTGCTGCTGCCTGGTAGAGATGGGCACATACACAAAAATACACCCTGGATATATCTTTTAACGCTCTTTTTTCCTAAAGTCAGGCAATTTAGGCTGGATGTGCTGGTTTAACCCCACTGGCAGGAGAGCCAGGCAAAGAAAAGTCCCTGCTTCAGAGGACATCCTGTGAATTTATTTGATTTCAACAGACCTGAAAGCAGAAGAGCTAGAAGAGACGTGCGGTGCTGGGAATGGGGAAAAGCAGGCTGAACTGCCTCGAAGGCTCCTAAAGAAAGCCAAACCACAAAGGAAAACAAGAAGGAAAGAGAAAATACTTTATTACATCTGTTTGAAGTGAGGAAGATACAGGAATGAGCAAACACTGAACTGTTTTGCTTCTGCTCACAAATGAACACACCGCTGAGCCTAATGGGATTTTAGATTAAAAGTTTTAACAAAAAAAATAACAACCACCTCCACAAATAGAGTTTTATAAGGTCAAATAATAGATGCAGTGAAATAAAAACCACTGCCAGTGTTTTACCTCCTTCTGTAGGGACCCTTCTTCCAGCCTGAGCCCCTGTCTTCAGGTGTCCTCCTCTAATTCCTGCGTTTATTCTTGGTGGTTGTGTTTCCTGCTGAGGATGGCTGGGGAACAATCCTCTGTCATCCTCTTTTGGCTGCCTTTTCTAGGCAGGGCTTTCCAAGTAGTTTGGCTCCCATGAGCCAAGGTTACCTTTGGGGAGCAGCAGGGATGGGGGCAGGCAGCAAAGATGGTCTGGGTGACACTAGGATGCTCCAAAGGGAAAGGCACTTTCCCATGGGGTTTCCCATCGCTCTTGGGGTTTCTCCTGCAATGCAGGGCTGCAATCTGCCTTGGCATCACCCAAGGGATCTCTCCTCAACATCCAGGAGGGTTCTGATATGCACTGACACCCTCTTTGCGAATAGGAAAACGTCCATTCCACATGCAGCCTGGCCCTTTACCCACCTATTTCTGTTGGGCATCAGATGCACGTGCCCCGTGACTCATTTTTGGAGGTATCAGGTACTTTCAGCAACAACCGACTTCAAGGACATCGGGGGTTTGCAGCACCCTTGAAAAATTAGGCAACTTCTGCACGCCTAAATAGATGTGTAATGACAGACACTCGTGGGTGAGCTGTTGGCAGCGGCCCAGGGCCGCGGTGGATCCGCCAGCGCCAGGGTGGGTGCTGGTTTATCCCGGGAAACTCTTCCCTGCTGCGCCCCGCATGGGACAGCGTGTCCCGGCACCCAGCCCCTCGCACCCCACCGTGCCGCCAGCGAGGAGGGGCTCTTGCAGACCCCATCCCGCACTCCCCAGAGGGGATCACGACAGATAACGGGCCGTGCATCGCCCTCCTGCAGAGGGGTGCTCGGGTGGGGCAGCGGCGGATCCGCTCCCAGCCCGAGGTGGGTGCGCTGGTGGCCGCCCCGCCTGGGTCGCGCCGGGGCGCGGATCCTCTCCCGCAGCCCACCCGGACCACCGGGTGATTGAGAAGCATCATTGGCCTCTCCAGCGCTCTCAGTCCCCCTTCTTCCCCGCTGATTGCAATCAACACCTCATTCATACGCCTCTGTTTACCAATTTTCCGGGAGGTATCATGCTAATGAAGGGAGCCAGGCAATCAAGCAGCCTCCCAGAAGTGGGGAAAAGAAGGAGGAAGAAAGAAAGGGCTGCTGCCGGGGAAAAGGGGAATGGGCCAGGAAAGGCTGGGAAAAGGGAGGGGAGAACCAAAGGGGGTTCACTCTGCCCCACTACCAGCCCTGCATCCCTTCCTGGTGCAGCTGTGAGGAGAGAGATGCCGATACCTGTTGGGCAGCATCTGCAGCATCCTCGGCAGGGGTGCTCAGGTAGCTGGGTACCACATTGAGGAAGGTGAGGATGCTGGCCACAGCACTGCAAGGAAAGTTTACAGCTTCTGAGAAAGTTCAGCTCAACCTCTGGAGTGCACAGTGCTGAGCCTCGGCTCACCGGGCTCTGCTCTGCAATAATATTTGCCCCAGGAATTACAGAATTGCTGTACAAGGGCTCCATTCAGGTAATAGAGTTCAAACTGAGTGCCAGGTCCTTCAGGACACCCTCTTGGCTGCCTGGAGGTGGCATCACCAATGCCTGTGGTGTGTTAACCACTTCTGCTTACCTGGTACAATGGCGAGATAGTTTTACTCCCTTCTCACTAAGATGCAGAATAAGGGTTGTGGATGTCCTCAGTTCAGTCAGAGAGAAAAAGAGAAAGATTTCTGCCAGGCTAAGCCTGGGAAAAAGTCCAGGAGGGATGTAAACAACCTATTATATTGTTTTCTGTTCATATTGTTTATAGATATGTTCTACCACACTGACTTAAGTCCAAGTGTACCAATCAGGTGAAATGTTTTTAAGACCAATGAAATTAATGTTCGTGATGTTCTCTATAAAAGAGAGAAGTATTTTTGAATAAAGATAATTCTTTACCTTCTGAAGATGGAGCTCTTCATTCCCGTCCCTGCCTCAACAGCGACATAAGGGGTGTGATCCTCTGCCCAAAATCCTACTCTGGCAGTGAGCCTGAAGCCTCCTTGGCCAAGGGGGTTCCCAGCCAAGCCCCATCTCCATCTAGCACAGAGGCTGGAGACAGGAGATCCATGCAGGCAGAGCTGGCAGCAGCAGGGTGGTTTGGGGCTGGATGGAGAGGCCAGAGGAGTGACGGGCAGGGCTGTGTCCCCTCCATGTCCCCATGCCTTCAGCTGCCAGGAACGACAGCCTTGCCAGACACAGCAGCTCTGAGCTGGCAGCACCTGGAGCCCTTTCCCAGCTCCCAGTGTGCTCACCCATCAGTCAGCAGGGAGGACAGGCACAGCAGGGCAGGACTGCCCCCCCAGAGCCACCCAGAAGCAGGGTGGGTGTCCCTGTCCCACAGGGTTCGGTGCTGAGAGGAGCTGGGAGGTGTTGAGATTACGCTTAGGGTGTCTCTTCCGTAACAGCACAGCAGCCATAAAGGATTGTCCAGCAGGGTTTGCAGACCCCAAACTGCCCATAACACGCTCTTTACAGCCTGTTCTGTCCCTTCTGCAAGGCTGTGCTTGGCTGCCTGCCCTGGGGCGGGGTCCAGCCCTGGCCTCGCACAGATGGGGACAGGCTCTCCATCATCTCCCGCTGCCTGCTGGAGCGAAGCTGCCGCGGGACAGCTGCCCATTCCTGCCTGCTGCCTCCTTTCTGCCAGGACTACACGTTTAGGGAGGATTTTTGAGGCAAGCTCCTGTTTTTCAGAGCAGAAAGCTCCTTGGGGCAGGCTTTCCAGCACTGGTGGACTGGGATCCCAGGTGGGCAAGTGTAATTTCTATAGTTTTGCCCCCCCTCCACGCAGCCCCCTCTAGGGTCTGTGTGAGATATGAGATATGGGGCTGTGAGGGGAGGAATACCAGGAGAGGGAAAAGTATTCAAAAGAGGCTGTTACCCCAGGGAAGTTGGAACAGCTCTCTTTATTCTGTGGTGTCCATGGAGAGCGGGTCAAAAGAGAGAGAGCAGGAAGTTTTAGGGGTCTATATAGGTTTTGGACTGGGTGGGCTCTCCTGGCTCCCCGCCAACCCCGTTGGGGCAGGAAGGAGGATCCAGGGGTTATCTTGATCAGAGCCACAGAGGCCCGGGGGAAGGGGGGCAAAAGGGTGTCCATGAGCTCACCGTAACAGGCAAGAGGGACCAGAGGGCGGTGCTGAGGCCGTGCAGCTGAGGACATCTCCTTGCCAGGAAGCCAAGCAGAAAGGATGGCTTACAGGTGGCAATCGGGCAACAAATAACACAGCGGGAGACAGCCGTGATTCCAGCCAGATGGAGGAACAGCAACAAACAATCTGTCTCCGGCAGAGGCGCCCCGGCAGCATCAGCCACCACGGAGAGGGGAGCGCCCTTGAGGAGTGGCGAGCTCGGGCTTTGCCTGGCACCAGCTGGGTTTGGAGCCCACCGGGATTTTGACACCTGCCCACCCCACTGTAATCGCAGGCACCACCCCTTTTCCCGCAGGAGCTGCGTTTTGAGGCATTGAGAGCTGCCTGTTCGCCCCCCTTGCCTGCTAAGCCCCAGGCGCAGCTGATTGATGAATGGGCTCTCGACATGATTGATCTCATTGACAGTGTGAAACATGGTGATTACCTGGTGCTGGCAGATTTTCCTAAGTGTAGCTCACGCAGGCACAGGACGTTTGTGCCATTATCATTATTAACTCCATTGTTAACTACTAATCTGTGCAAAGATTTGGCCTGGCCTCTTGGAAACACAGGAGGCAGCTGCTGGAGATGGACCCTGAAAGAGGAAAGGGGATTTTTATCCATTTAATATATTTTTTTTAAAATTTTATTTTCAGAGTCTATTTATGGAGGTGAGCATCCCCCAGGTATTTCTGCTCGCTTCCTTGTCCCTTCAGCCCTGGAGGCTCAACGTTTCTGGGTGGTGATGACAAGGTATTTCAGGAGCTCTGCCCCATCCACTCCCATTAAAATCCACCGCAGGTCTCAGCTTTCCCTGAGAGAAAAAAAATCCAAACCTGTTTTTAAAATGTTTTCTTCCCAAATATCTACCATTTGCCAAACCTAAATTTCAGCCCAGAAACTTAACCACAATAAATGAGCCTTTTGCTTGCAGACCCCCCCGGAGCACAGTCGGCATTTCCTCCTTTGAAGGCAGCAGTCAGCTGAGACCTAATCAACGTCTTTCCAAAGAGGGAAGAAAAAAATATAAATAAACCCTGCACCAAGGCGTTGTAGCTGATGCTCAAGTCAGGGGATCATTTAGGAGATGATTTATTGAATAGCAAACAGGTAAAAAGGAGATTGGGCTAAAGGGGGACAGGCACAACAAAACAGGAGGGATTTAGCAACAAGGTAAAAATAGCCTAAAAATACAGCAAACGAGGAAATAGCGACAGTTGCCATCCCCACAAGGATGAGTTAAATTCCTGGCTGGTGTAACTCAGCAGAGAGCCCGGGAAGCCAATGGAGCTGCAGTAATTTACAATAACTGCTAGTTTGGCTCAATTTAAATAGCTCCGCTTTATGAATACCAGGAATACGTGTATGAAAGAGGAGAGGAGAGTTGGGAAGGTTTTATTTACACTGCAGCTTAGAAGCTGCTTAAACTGATTTGGAAGCAGGTGAATAATTAATTGCATCTTTAAGGAATCGAGCTGTTAATAATACTCCCCACAGTGGCAGTTTATAAATGTTCCTGTCAGGGTGGAACATGGAGCATCGCAGAGGGAAGGTGGCGCGGGGAAGAAAAGCCTCGAGGAAACTCTTCCCCCCACTCCCCTGCCTGCAAAATGAATTAAAGTTGCCATTTTTTCTGCCATCCAGCTGTTTCTGACACCTGGATGTCAAATCAATATTATAATGACAGCACCACAGCCAAAAATTTTTTTTTAAAAAGGAACTTTTAAAAAATGTCCTATTACTACATGGAAAATATTTGTATTGCCTCCCACTCTCCAGGGTACAGCCTGTTAATTGGGCACAAAGGGCAGGATCTGCTGGAGCCTGCAGAGAATATTAGGGAAAGAGCTGGTAATGTTATGATGGAATTGGGTAAACTGGTTCTGTGAGGGGAAGAGGGTCCTGAGCAGTGCAGGGGTTGGTCTCTCCTTCTTCTGCACAGCCCAGAGCCTCCTGTTGCATCCCTCCCTTCAGTTCTTCCATCCATCCATCCATCCATCCATCCATCCATCCATCCATCCATCCATCCATCCATCCCTATCACCAGGAGGTGCTTGCAGAAGGAGGATGGATGAGCAAACAGGTGCCTTCACACCACTTTGCCCAGTTATCTCCCCCAGCCAAGAGAATCCAAAGCTGGACCAACCAGCACAGCCAGGGCTACATGGATTAAACCAGCAAAAACCTCTAGAGCCAGGAGTTTTGGGAAGAATAGAAACGCTTACACTTCAGCACAGGAATAAACCTGTGGAACTGGGGAGGAGTTGGGAAGGAAATAAGGAGTTGAGAAGGAAAAGCTGGGAGAAAAGCTGTTTCCCTCAGGGAATCTTAGGCTGGGAGAAGGATTTTGGCCATGGAAAATGGGGCAAGCAGCCACAGCAGGGCAGAGGCTGGATGGGGACATCCCCAAGCATCCCCAGCCCCGGGGTGGTAGCAGCCCCTCCATTCCCACCCAGGATGGGAGCAAGAATTTCCAAGGTTTTGCTCACACTCTCTTTTGGTGTTTTCTTGCCTCTTTATTCCAGCTAGGGACAAACTCATCACTCACCTCTCTGATCGTTCCAGCCACATCCCAGGACCTGTGTGCAGGGTAGGGGGTGGCAAGGGAGCTCTCTTGCTCCCAGCCCACCTCTGAGGTGGAAAATCAGCACCTGCAGAGCCCTGCCTCATTTTCCATGATTAATCAGTTTGCTTGAGAGCAGCAGGACTCCCACCCTCATCCATCCCCCACGACAGCCACGTATGAAAGCTGACGTTAATCAGATAAATTCCTTTGCAGTAGCACCAACAATTTTTCTAAAGCACAGTCTCCCTGGAGCTACTAATAATTACTCCAGATCCAGACATTAAAGCACCACCAAAAAAAATGTTTTTAATTAAAAAATTAATTTTTCTGACAGACCCACTGATGCTAAACTTGGAACAGCACAGCATCCATCAGGAGGGAAAGGAGAGGGATGGCAATGACCTGCTCACCAGCCTCAGCTGGGAAAGGAAGAAGAGTTGTATTCCTCAAGGCTTTTGAGAAGCTGTCCCATCTCCAAATGCCCTGTGACGACCCATTTTGCACAACACAACACATCTCAAATGGGGCAGAGTTAATGTGATGCCCAGCTCAGTGATTGCAATCCCAGTTGCATCTTTCAGAGAAAACACCCGCTGGCAGGAGGATCCAGGAAAGAATTGCATTTCCAAATATCATCTCCCTAAGCCTAATGACATCCCACTGGCAGGACACCCTCAGCCTCACCAGGTACAGGAGGAACTCTACAGAATCATCTCCTTCTCTGAATGCACCTGAACACTCCAGCCAGTCTGGATTCATTATCCCTGGGTTGGGAAGGGAAAGGAGGGGAGAGAATGGAGCTAAAACATGTCATCCATGGAAAAAAAACATTGATTGCCTTAAAGGGTTCCTGACGGGGAGAAAAAGGTTCAGAGTCTCTTGGGCCCGGTTTGGGTAGCCAAACTGAGATGCAGCCACAGTAACACAGTGCTAAAAAACCCCTGGTATGATGCTCCAGCAAGATCCATCCCAATTCCTGGGGTTACAGCCCCAACTTTTTCTAACCACAGCAATGCTTGAGCTCTCCTTCCCTCTGGCTGCCTCTCATCCAGGAGGCTCAGGCTCAGAATATAATGAACCTCTTCCCTTGCCCTTCCCAGCACTAAGGCTTGCAGAAGAGGGTAATGAGCGTCCCTGCCTGGCAGGGTGTGGGGATGTTTCACACCAGCCTGACAGAGGAGCATATCCAGCAGCACACCGCTAACAAAAGAGGCTTTATTGCAGCAGAATGAAAGGCAGGATGGATTGAGGCAGGGGCTGGATTAATTGGATGTGGGAAAATACCTAACTATATACATGGAGGGAGAAGCAGTGAGGTGCTCCTGCAGGACTGAGTTCAGGAAAAGCCAAATTGATGTGCTTAGATAAAGACGCCGAGAGCTAATTCCTCAGCTGCAAGTGGTGCTGCCAGCCTTCTGCAAAAGAAGTAAAGGCAAAAAAGTCCCCAAAACTGCTTAAAATATCCCCTGTACCTTCCCAAAGGGCCCCAAAGCATCATGGCAGGTGAAGAATACTCACCTCCAGCGATGGGCCTGGGGCTCAGGCAGGGTCTTCCCTCCTCCTGGCCTAAGAACCCACTAATGAATTCAATGAAGTCAGTCCAGAAGATCTGGGGAATACAAAAGGTTGAATGAATTTGAGTTGCTTAACCCAGAGAAGAGAGTGTCAAGGGCAAAAGTGAGTCTGCAAATGCAGCTGGTGATGGCTGCAAAGTGGGAGAGAAAGCTGTTCCCTGCATCCGGCGTGAGAAGGAGAGGAAGGGACAGGTTAGATGTTAGCAATCCTCTTTCCACTAGCACTAGGGAGGATCTGGGCAGCCCAGGTGCCATCAAAGGGTAGTTTTTATTGAGGAAAGCTGCAATTTCTGCAGTTCCCCAGGCAGGTGGATTGCTGGTATGTTGTAGGTAATTACACCAGTACATCTTCCCACAGCATCCCACACCCAAACACAGCAGCTTGGCCTCTGTCAGAGCAGGGACTGGAAGAGGAATATGACTTGATTTTCCATCAGCTCACCAAAGAGGTGAGAAAATAACATGCAGAGCCACTGCCCTTTACACACAGCAAGCAGAGATTATTGGGGATTTATCTCAGCACTTCCCCTGATAAGCAGCCCCCTCTCTGGGCTGGATGCTGGGTGCAGGGGAAAAGGGAGGAAGGCAAACACCCGTGGGACCTTGAGAACCACAATTCACTGCTTTTTGCTTCTCACTGAGGATAATTCAGTGGCTAGAGCTCTTTTGGGGATCTCAAACCCATTTCTGCCTTCCTATGTCTCACTTCTGCCTTATTATGCTGCATTTCCCTCTTCTTCCCTCCAAAAAAAACCCACCCCAACCCTTCAGCTTTTCTGTGATGAGGCAGGAATGTTTCTGCTCACCTGAAAGCCTTCAAAATCAATATATAACTTACCTGTAATAATCCCACACTTCAGAAAATTGCTTCAAATCACATCTATTTGGGGGAGACAGTAATTTAGACTGGCTTCCCCCAGGAATTTCTCCTCTGGAGGCACATGGCTCAGTCCTGGGAGCAGCAGGTTGATGGAGCAGGCACATAAACACCCCTGGAGAGAAGCCTGGCCCTGTGTCTCACCCACCTCACAGCTGGCCATGCCTCTCCTGGCTGCAGCCCCAGCTGATTTCCAGGCCTCCATCACTTCTCAACACATTTTTTTTCCCCTGGATTCTCGAAATTAAATGCTACTAATTTATTTTGCAGAAAACTCTGCAACCTGCTGGTATGTCTCTGCCAGCTGTGACCTCATCTTCCAGTGATTGGATTCTGGAGTAAATTAATAGAACCAGTTCATTAATTAATTGCAACTAACTTGTGCGGTGAACTGGACCCATCTCTCATGTTCCCAGGCTGCCCAGGAACCGCTCCAGATTCCAGCTCAGGAAGCACTCACTGTGTTTTCATTTCAGCTGAGTGGTTTGGATGAGCACTTCCCAGTGTTCCAGCTGTTAGCAAACAGCAAACCCCAAATTACCCCCTGCTCAACTCCTGCATCCCACCCCCCAAAATAAAGGGGGAGCCCTGAAAACAGCATCCCCAAATCTTCTACAGCCAAGGATAATACTGAACATCTACATCCTGTTGTAGACAGGAGCTGGCAGCAAGTGAATGCTCCAGCGAAATCTCTAAACACTGCACATATATTTTGGGTTTATTTGCTGGGCTTACCACTGAATCTTATTTGCTGGCATGGTTTGGTTGGTTTTCTTTTTTTTTTTTTTTCCCTCCCCTTTCCTTCTTTCTCCCTGGGAGAACTTAATAAATCTTTGAAATCATCAAAAAGAAATGCAGCTTCAACACTTAGAGAGCACGGTTAAGTTACTTCCTGGCAATATAAACTAAGGCTGTAAAGTCAAACATTTCCATGCCATAACACAAAGCAAAAACGAGGGTTTGGGAACAGAAGGAGCAGACCCAACCTCAGCTCTGCCCTCACCCAGGGCTGGACAAACCTGGAAAGCTCACAGCTGGCTGGAGGTGGTGACAGGGATGTCACTGACCCCTCTCCCCAGCTTTTGCCATGGTTCCCCTCCTGCCACATGCAGAATTTCAGCTGTTCTTCTTTCAGGGGCTGCCTTTGCATGAGCCCACTGAGAGGTGGGGCTGCCTTGATGAATCTCACCTGCACCGAGGCACAGCAGGGCCAGAGTCGATGACCCAGGGGTGGCCACCTCCTCCTCCTCCCCCTCTCTCTCACTTTCCATCACTTAATAGCGTTTTTTGCAGCATTCACAGAGATGGGAGAACCCTCTGAGCCCCGAGGGAGGAGCCTGGTGGCACTCACCAGCTGCAGGACCAGGCTGAGGTGCAGACAGGACACACACAGGACCACGGCAGGATGGAGACAGGCAGGACCAGGGATGGATGCAGGCAGCATTTCCATGGCAACACAACCAAAAAGCAACGTGGTCACAGCTCCCAGAGGAGAGAGGGGTCAGGAGAAACTTTGTTATCATGGAGGGCACAGGGACACAAGGTTCCAGCTCCTCCAGGGAGCAGTTGATGTTCCCACCCCAGGATGTCTCACCACCAGCATCTCGGGGTGCTAAGGGGACCCCAGCTGCAGGTCCTGGTATCCCTCACCCTTTCCTGGTGCCAGGGACCTGTGTGTAATTGTGATGCAGAGAGCTCATGCTGCACCGTGCCCTTGATTTACTCTCTCCAGCCTCCTGCTTTCTAAATCTCTCTTTATTAGTATCACCACACAGCAGAGTGCAATTAGCAGTATATTAGCAATAAAACAGCAGCCAGAGCCAGAAGTGCCGTGGGTTATGGCCTTAAATCCTGCCTCTGACAGGGTGGCTGTGGACACAACCCCTGCCCTGACCCCAGCCTAGGCTGCCATGCCCCCCGTGCCCGCAGAGCAGGGGAGCCCAGCACCCCTCCAAGGGCCCACCCCCCCTCCAGAGCTTCTATAGGTGCTGCAGCAGAGCTGACACCAGTCCTGGCCACATTGAACCATTTATATTGATTACCCTGTCAGCTCATTTGAATAATTAAAACCAGATGGAGTCCTTTTAAGCATTTAAGGGAACAGCACTGGGAGCATCCCTAGGGCTGTGTGGTTTTGGCAGATGGGTGCAGGGGAAGCTGGGCAGCTTTTGCTGTCAAACCTTGCTCTCAGTGGCATCTGCCACCCTGTGTGGTACCTCCCATGCCCCCGCTGTCAGGCATGGGGTGCTGGAATCAGCACAGTTCCCACCCCCAGGCAGATTGGTGGGAATAATTGCTCTTGTACACTGCTACCATTCCTTATATAAACAGCATTAAAGCTGCCAGCCAGCCACAAGCCTGATTAACAGCAGCAAATAAATGAAGCCAGTGCCAAGAGCCCAACGTTCCAGTGTGTGTAGGGAGGGGGGGCAGCATCCAGCCCCACCTTGGCATCATGACCCCCAGCACCTGTTCCAAACCTCACCCACCTGCAAAGCTCTTACTCCAGGCCTCTTGCCAGGGACCTCTGGCTCCTTAAAATGGATGGGTGATGCCAGCTCAACTCTGGTTACTTGTTATTCCATCGTCTTTTCAAAGGGAGTAAAATATTCCTGGCATGGTGCTGGTTATGCACTCCTGCCACCACGCAGGGATGAGTTATCTTTACAGAAAGAAGCACAGATTAATACGTCAAATGAAAATGAACTATCGGCAGAAGGAGATGAAAATGCAATGGCCAGTGACAGAGAGGAAAAGAAGAGAAAAAAGAAAGCGAGGCTTCTTGGGAGGACAGGAACATTAAAAACTGAGGAATTGATCAGCATTTGGTGAAGTTGGATGGAGCTTGAACACCCTGCACAGGGCAGAGACCTTTTTCTCCCGCCCAGAGCAGAGCTCCACAGCCTCACCATGACTGGGTTTTGTCCTTGAGACCTGGTCCCACCACCCCACCTCTGCCCCGAGGTAAAGGGGATTTCCCAGGGCAGGTGAGCAGCTGGGGCAAAGCTGGGGTGCTTGGAGAAGCTCAGCACTCCTGGCCCTGAATCTGCACAAAGCCTCATGCTTCAGGCTCCTTTGAAGCTTCTGGACCAGCTGCAGGAGGTGACCTTGGCAATGGGTGTCCATCCCCCCATCAGACACGTGCCCCCTTTTCCCCAGAACCACCCATGCCTTGCTCCCTGCTCTTGACTCCTTCTCTGCCCCTCACTGCACCATCCAGCCACCAAAGATAAATCCCACTCCAAAATGTTTTTCCAACTAGGAATGTGTGTGCTCCAGCAGTGCGTCACAGCCACCCCACAATTTACAGGTGTTTATTGTCTGGGATGAGCAGTTCAGGCAAGCTGGTTTTATTTAGACATACTTCCAGTACCTGGAAATAGCTGTTTATATGTTCCAGTGTTTTGACATGGGTAGGTGCCTGGATTTTGATGGATCAAACCAATAAGCAGCAGGCTGGCAGGTCTCTGTTTCCTTTCCTCCCAGCAGATTCCTGTGCTCAGGCATCAGGGTGGGAATGGGGAGCCCCTCTGCTGGGCAAAGTCCAGCAGCCCCCCTTACTCTCCAGCTCCTCAGCATGGAGAAGAGGCCAGAAAGATCCCTTTTTCCTGCCTGCTGCTTGCTGCCTCTGTCAGAGATAAGAATTAATTACATTCCCCTGCCTTTGTAACTGCCTGGGGAATTTTTCAGCTCCCTCCACCACGGGGTCCACCTGATTTAAGGGGGGAACAGGGATATACTCTGCTACATGTGTGCTAATATTGCAGATGGGATATCACCCCTGAGCGCTGAACACACTGCCACAGGAATATTTGCAGAGCTGCTTCTTCATTCCCCAGTCTCTGGGGTGCCACAGCCCCCTGCACACTCCTGCAGTGGGCAGGGCCCAGCCTGGCCATAAATCCCACAGGCTTCCACCACCTCAGCCAGGCTCATGGCCAGGCAGGAGCTTACACAGCAGAATAAGGGATGGTTCCGTCCCAAAACCCATCAGTAATTTGGCTTCCCTGCTCTCTGGGGCTTTCAGAGCTGATGGGACCCTTCCAGACCCACAGAGGTTGCTTCACCCACACCACAATGGCAGCAAAAAGAAAGAGAGGCTGCTGGCAGCCAGAGGAAGAGGAGCAGACTGTCCCATTCCTGTGGGACAGCTGATGCCACCCAGAGCCACCCTGCTCAAGGGCTCCAGCCCATGGAGACCAGTGTGGCAGCATTCCCCCAGCTCAGCACAGGCCACCCCTGCCCTCAGCCCTGCCCAAGGGTGGCAGGGCTGTAAATGCTTTTGGTGGAGGGACCTGCCATGAATCACTCTGGATTTACAGCTGAGCTGCAGGAAAGGGAATTATATAACTCTCAGGAGACAGGCTGGTGTGGAACGAACATCCATCAAGCACAAATTCTGGGTTATTTACCGCTGCTGGATCGTGCCAAGAGAAACACCCCCTGCACTGGACAGCCTGTGGATGGATTCAGCCATGGGGACTGTTCAGCAGATGGAAAGTTTCTGTCCTCCTTGTCAGAGGAAGCTGGGGTGTTTAGTGCTCCCTCCTACCATGGGATGAGCCCAGTGCCCAGCAGAGGATGGGTCTCAGCTTGGCACAGCCCCGTCTGGATCCCAGATCCTGGAGCCAGAGGAGCCTGGCAGCAGTGCCAAGCAGCCCTTTTTATGAGCAGCACTTAATTATTCACCCTTTTAAAACGTTTTGC